AAAAAAAAAAAAAAAATCACAGATGAACCATACAGCCTAGAAATGTTGACAAAATTAAAAAGTTAAGTATGTTATTAATGCACAAAATATGCACTAGCCTACTTATCAATTATTGCCATAATATGTACATAAATCTATTATAAAAAGTTACAATTTGACTCAGCCCCTATAGCTCAGCATCTAGGGTGCCAGTCACATACACTGGAGCTGGCGGGTTTGAGCCCAGCCTGGGCCTGCCAAACAACAATGACAACGACAACCAAAAAATAGCCGGGAGTTGTGGCAGGCATCTATAGTCCCAGCTACTTGGGAAGCTGAGGCAAGAGAATCACTTAAGCCCAAGGGTTTGAGGTTGCTGTGAGCTGTGATGCCACGTCACTCTACTCAAGGGTGACATAATGAAACCATGTCTCAAAAAAAAAAAAGTTAAAAGTTATCAATGCTTATGCACAAACATAGACTGTGCATGATGCCATTCACAGTCAAGAGAAATGTAACCACACATAGCCATGTAGTTTTAAATCATAAATGTGTAAATTAACTATAGTAGATACTGTACCACTAAATATTCCTGTAGCTACCTCCTGTTGCTATGGCACTAAGCTCAAGTATTGCAAGTATCTGTTTAAAATGCATGTGACACTAATTGTCTCTGGGTAAATAGTTTCTCTCTCTAGTAAGTTGTATCTCAGTAAAAGATGATCTCTTGAAATTCATCATGTTTAAGTTCATTACCATAAACCTTGAATAACACCATGAGGCCCCTACAAAGGGCCACTAGTGATTCTGGAAATAGAGAAAAGGTCAAAAAGTCATGACAGTACAAGGAAAAAGTTGAATTACTTGATGTGAACCATAGACTGAGGTCTGTAGCTGTGATTGCCCACTATTTCAAGATAAATACATCCAGCATAAGGACTACTATTAAAAAAATGGAAAGAAAAACAAAAAAGAAAAGGAAAGTTGTGACTGTATCATCACAGGTGCAAAAAACCTTGCATTTTTTGCAAAATACCTTTTTCTTGATTATTGGCAACGCAGCTTTTATGTGAGTACAGGATGACGATAAGAAAGCCATACTGTATAGACTATCATATAATTTGAAAAAGCAAAGCGATTTATATGACAACTTAAAGCAAGAGGAAGATGAAGGATCTAATGTTGAAAATTTTAAAGCCAGCAAAGGATGGTTTGATAATTTTATTTTATTTTTTATCATTTTATTTTTTATTTCAAATTATTATGAGGGTACAAATTTTTAAATTATAATGTTCTCACTTTCAAGGTAAAGTTCAAGTTGTAGAAGAGCCCTTCGCCCAAGAGGTATGCTGAATACCCTCCATAGTGATTATTTTCATTCCGGCATGACTATATGTGTCCCAAAGTAGACTGAGACATCAGCCCTGGCCCCAAACAGAGTCAGTCAAAGCCCACCGATGCTGCCATGGTAACTGAACATGTCATGCCATGTGCCATTTATCTCAGCAATAATCTGAAAATGGATCAAGAAAGGAGGTAATACGTACATGACAGAAATCGATAAAATGGTAGCACAAGCTAACAAAAGAGAGAGAGAAGTCAAAGCTCAGAACCTATACCTAACATAAGAAGTTGCACGTTCCCTCTTTTTAAAAGAGTTGTATATAGACACACTCACTGATACCTCTCACATAGTAAACAACAAAGGCTCTGAATTTACCTTTGTGATATTCATGACTTGAGACACATTGCCAAGATGGTGTGGTCATCCATTTATAAGATGAGTGATAGCAAAGAATACAGGACAATTTTTTATCGTTAGGTTTGATAATTTTAGAAAGAGATCTGGCTTGGCGCCTATAGCTCAACCGGCTAAGGCGCCTGCCACGTACACCTAAGGTGGCGGGTTCGAATCCCCAGCCCGGACCCGCCAAACAACAATGACGGCTGCAACCAAAAAATAGCCGGGCATTGTGGCGGGCGCCTGTGGTCCCAGCTACTTGGGAGGCAGAGGCAGGAGACTCGCTTGAGCCCAGGAGTTGGACGTTGCTATGAGCTGTAATGCCACGGCACTCTACCCAGGGGGACAGCTTGAGGCTCTGTCTCAAAAAAAAAAAAAGAAAGAGATCTGCCTTTTAAAATGTTGAAATAATGGGAGAAGCAGCTTCTACCAACCAAGAGATGAGTTCCCAGATGCCTTTAAAAAACTCATTGAGGAGAAACATATCTGCCTGAACAGGTTTTTAGTGCTGATGAAAGTGCCCTATTCTGAGGGGCCGGGGGAATTGCTGCAAAGTACATTTGCTGGTACACAAGAGAAGTGAGCACCAGGATTTTAGGCAGGAAGGGACAGGCTACCTTTTCTCTTCTGTGCAAACACAGTTGGGTTTATGATCAGGACTGGCCTGATCTAGAAAGCTGCT